AAAAACCAAAAAAAAAACACAAACACACAAAAACACAAAACACAAAAAACACAAAACCAAAAAACAAACAAAAAAAACCCCCACAAAAAACAAAACAAAATGAAAAAAAAACACAACAAAACCAAAAACACAAAAAAACACAAAACCAAAAAACACAAAAAACAAACAAAAACAAAAAAACAAACAAAAAAAAACACAAAAAAAAAAACCAAAACCAGAAAAAAAAAACAAAAACGAAAAATAAACAAAAAACAGAAAAATAACAAAAAAAAAAAACAAAAAAAAAAAAAAAGGGACAGCCCACCTTTAATTGGCTTCCATTTTGGTTATTACATCTAATACCCTAGATTGTAAAAGAGGTGCAGCAGTTTCTTCACATTTGTTCACATAGCGCAGATTTATACACTTTGGGCCTTCTATATAGTTTCATACAAAATTTGCCTATTTCACAGCTTAGCAAGGGCAAAAGAGACATTGGGGTTCATTTACTGAAAGCTTTGCAAGAGAATTCTCTTTTCAAGCCGGGGAATTTTCCCGCAAGCCGGGGAATTTTCCCGCAAGCCGGGGAATTTTTTATAAAAAAACAAGTGCAAGGAAAAATTTAAACAAAAAGTTGGATTGCACACGGAGTAGATGAAGTCAGCAGAACCCCCAATTCACTAAACGAAGGAACAATTCCCTGGCATCAACAGCCTATTAGCCTTTAATAAAAAAAAATCATCCCCTGCGTGTCAGTTGGGCGAGGACTGATGATCATTTGCATAGCTGGCACAATTGATTATTGGTACCATAGTCTTTTAGTGGTTTCCCAGTATAATACAGTATCTATACTTTTATTCCTTTGATTCTAGGATTACATCAATTGGATGAAGTCCTCACTACACACATAGATCGTTCTTTGCATTCAGCGGAAAGTGACAGCTTGCTTTTAGCCAAAACCTCAGTTAAAAAAAAAAACATAATAGGGAGTGTAGTATTCCAATAGAGGTCCCTATGGCTAGATTGTGGGCTAAAGTACATTAGCAGTTTTAATCTCATGCCACTGAGCAATTTAACCCATTGATGGAACCTCTCAGTTACAAGAGTTGAGCAAATTTTACCAGTAAATTGCCAGGATGAACCTAAACAAATTATTTGTAGAAGGGGTCCAAGCTAGAATGATACTCCAATAGAGATTTTTGCATTTTGAGTTATTATATGCTAGGTCAGGATATTTTTGCCATCTGTGTCTCACGGAGATGATTTTCCTTCACGCTCGGTCTTGTAGGCACAACAGAGAGTGAGGAAATATCTTCGATGTGAAGGATATCCATACGTGGTTGCCAATGGACAAGCATCACACAAGAGATTTCTCCTCTCTGTCGGGTCAACATTTTAGACAATGGTCACCAAAACAGGTAGAGTACGTTATAAGCTTGGTCAGGATATTTTTGCCATCCTGTGTCTCATGGAGAGGATTTTCCTTCGCTTTTGGTCTTGTAGGCACAACAGGAAGTGAGGAAATATCTCCGATGTGAAGGATATCCATATGTGGTTGCCATTGGACAAGCATCTCATTTGAGAGATTTCCCTTCTGTGTTCTGGTGACCGTTGTCTTGTCCAACTGTCTAAAATTTTCACCCGACAAACAGAGTATATTATAAGCTCGGTCAGGGTATTTTTGCCATCTTGTGTCTCATGGAGATTATTTTCCTTCACGCTCGGTCTTGTAGGCACAACAGAGAGTGAGGAAATATCTCCGATGTGAAGGATATCCATACGTGGTTGCCAATGGACAAGCATCCCACAAGAGATTTCTCCTCTGTCGGGTCAACATTTTAGACAATAGTCACCAAAACAGATGAAGTACGTTATAAGCTTGGTCAGGATATTTTTGCCATCCTGTCTCTCATGGAGAGGATTTTCCTTCGCTTTCGGTCTTGTAGGCACAACGGGAAGTGAGGAAATATCTCCGATGTGAAGGATATCCATATGTGGTTGCCATTGGACAAGCATCCCATTTGAGAGATTTCCCCTTCTCTCTGTCGGGTCAACATTTTAGACAATGGCCACCAAAACAGGCAGAGTACGTTATTATAAGCTCGGTCAGGATATATTTCCCATCTTGTCTCTCATGGAGATGATTTTCCTTCGCTTTCGGTCTTGTAGGCACAACGGAAGTGAGGAAATATCTCCGATGTGAAGGATATCCATACGTGGTTGCCAATGGACAAGCATCTCATTTGAGAGATTTCCCCTTCTGTGTTTGGTGACCATTGTCTTGTCCAACTGTCTACCTGTTTGTCAGGTGAAAATTTTTGAGTACGTTATTATAAGCTCGGTCAGGATATTTTTGACATCTTGTGTCTCATGGAGATTATTTTCCTTCGCTTTCAGTCTTGTAGACACAACAGGGAGAAATATCGCCAATGTGAAGGATATCCATATGTGGTTGCCAATGGACAAACATCCCATTTGAGAAATTTCTCCTCTGTCGGGTCAACATTTTAGACAATGGTCACCAAAACAGAGTATGTTATTATAGGCTCAGTCAGGATATTTTTGCCATCTTGTCTCTCATGGAGATGATTTTCCTTCGCTTTCGGTCTTGTAGGCACAACAGAGTGAGGAAATATCTCCGATGTGAAGGATATCCATACGTGGTTGCCAATGGACAAGCATCTAATTTGAGAGATTTCTCCTTCTGTGTTCTTGTGACCATTATCTTGTCCAACGGTCTAAAATTTTAACCCGAAAAACAGGTAGAGTACATCATAAGCTCAGTCAGGAAATTTTTGCCATCTTGTGTCTCATGGAGATGATTTTCCTTCACTTTCGGTCTTGTAGGCACAACAGAGAGTGAGGAAATATCTCCGATGTGAAGGATATCCATACGTGGTTGCCAATGGACAAGCATCCCACAAGAGATTTCCCCTCCTCTCTGTCGGGTCAACATTTTAGACAATGGTCACCAAAACCGGTAGAGTACGTTATTATAAGCTCGGTCAGGATATTTTTGCCATCCTGTGTCTCATGGAGATGATTTTCCTTCACTTGTCTTGTAGGTACAACAGGCAGTGAGGAAATATCTCCGATGTGAAGGATATCCTTTCGTGATTGCCATTGGACAAGCATCTCATTTGGGAGATTTCCCCTTCTGTGTTCTGGTGACCATTGTCTTGTCCAACTGTCTAAAATTTTCACCCGACAAACAGGTAGAGTACGTTATTATAAGCCTGGTCAGGATATTTTTGCCATCTGTGTCTCATGGAGATGATTTTCCTCCACTTTCAGTCTTGTAGGCACAACAGGGAGTGAGGAAATATCTCCAATGTGAAGGATATCCAGACGTGGCTGCCATGGACAAGCATCTCATTTGAGAGATTTCCCCTTCTCGGTCGGGTCAACATTTTAGACAATGGTCACCAGGGAGTGAGGAAATATCTCCGAGGTGAAGGATATCCATACGTGATTGCCATTGGACAAGCATCTCATTTAAGAAATTTCCCCCTCATTGTCTTGTCCAACTGTCTAAAATTTTCACCCGACAAACAGGTAGAGTACATTATTATAAGCCTGGTCAGGATATTTTTGCCATCTGTGTCCCATTGAACAGATTTTCCTTCACTTCTTGCCCTGTAGGCACAGCAGGAAGCGAGGAAATCTCCCCAACGTACAGTATATTACCGACACAATTGAAAGATTTCCCCTTCTTTCAGTTCGGGTCAAAATTTGTGGACCATTGACAATCATGGTAGGGTAAGTCACCAGAACAGGTAACACGCAATAATAAGCATGGTCAGTATATATTTTTGCCATCGGAGATTTCACTTCCTGCTTTGTAGACACAACAAGAAGACATGAGATCTCTCCAAAGTGAAGGATATACCCCATTGAAGTATCACTGGAACAAGCATCCCAATGGAAATATTTCCCCTCTTTCAATTCAGGTCAAAATTTTAGACCATTTGACAATTCTAAAAAGGTCCATTGGATTTCTCAAAAAAAAAAAAAAACCCTCAATCTCGCAAATGGAGGCACAGACCTGAACCGGATAGACCCCCTTTACCAGCTTACTTCACAAGTCTGATGACTGGTTATTATCGAGGCACCACTGTTCTACTTTGGACTCTCTAAAATAAATGTTGAGCAAACCGCTTGTCAATGACTTTCCGATCATTAAAACTGCTCACGTAGTTTAGCCCCTGAGGAATTTTAACATGAACCTCCACAGGTGGTTTTGTTTTTGTTTGTTTTTTGATTTTTTGTTTTTGTTTTTTAAAATCCAGGAAAAAAAACCTATATATTTATACAAAAAGGAAAAAATACATTTTTTTTTCTAGTGGTTTTTCTTTAAGACAGTGATAGTGCTAAAAAGGCATCTGGATTTGGTTGACTTTGTACCCTAAAGAGTACATTGATCTTACATCTCTGCGACGGTGCAACATCAATTTATAAAATAGATTATAAAATAATGGTTTTTACGAGACCAAAAAGTTGTTTGGTTTTGTACATTTAAAAAAAAAAAAAACCCAAAACACAGAGGTGTCACAGCAGGAACCATCAACAGTAGCCTACTGGCTGCACTTGCATTTTTTTGTTTTTAAACCTTTAAAAAAAAACTGGAAAGTAGAATGTTTCCCTTCTCATCCAGCTACTCAGTTTTTTTGTTTGTCCTAATAAAAAGGTTACTCTTGCCTCTAGTCACCGGTCCCAGAGTACCTTGTTTGACTCATCGTGACGTCTTGATATTCAAAGGCTGGCGAGAAGATAAAAAAAAGGACCAAGAGATGACCATATGGAAAAATGACATGGAATGTCCACTATCTAAACAGGAACTAATGGATAAATTCTCCTCCGCCCCATGAAATTCAGATCATGAAAAACACAAGTTGGGCAAGTACACCCAAAAAAAGTGCTAACAAAATTCAGGTCTCCATCCAATTTTGCCAACCAAACCCTGTTTGTATTCAAATCCTACGATGGTCTCTAATATTGTCCATGGAGAAAAGGAGAGCAGGTTAGTCTTTACACGTGTAGACCTCCTCTCTCTGTGTGCACTGTTTACATTCCACATAGCAGCACCAGCGGACCTGACACTGGCAAGGCCTCGTCACCACCTTGCTCTGAGTATTATGTCCCCGACCGCAGCAAATGCTCTCGCAGTTTTTGTCTTTGTAACACCTCCTCCCCGCCGTGCCGGGAGAAAAAAACCTACTCATCCGACAGAAGCTCGGAGAGTCATCAATGTAGATAAGGTCTGTAGTCCTTGGTATTTGGTCGCTGTGACCAGAAACGGGCTTTTTGGGTGGAGAAATGTCCCCTTCGCCAGTCGCTTCGTTGGTGGTGCTTCCTACTTTGAGAGAAGTCTCGTATTTTTGCTTCAGTTGTTTTCCAATTTCGTGGAAAGGCGAAAGCTGTCTCCAGCAGGTGCGGACTGTGCAGGATCCGGAAACCCCGTGGCATTTGCAAGTGGTCTTCACTCCGGCTTTAATCACCTGAAAAGATTTTTAAAAAAAAATTAGGGCACAAAATTTAAAAAGGAAAAAAAATGTAAAATACCCAACAGAAGGTTTGTTTTTTTCTAATCCTTCCTTTGTACTGAAGATGAAAAAAACTTCTCTATGAAGGATTTTTCATATCTTCATTATATATGACCCCAAACCATTATAAAAAATAGCCAGATCATCGAAAAACATTTTGCTGGGAAACAAAAATCCAGGTAATCCAAAATATGCAATCGCTCCATTGCAATGGTTTTAAACTAAAGCACACTTGCTGAAAGTACAGCATCTACACGATCAATCTCAGTGGTCTACAAAAACTGCAACCCTTTGCTTGCCTTTATCTGGCCTTTGGAGCATTATTCCTTCCACTGACACCAACCCCTTTCACTTTCAGTATAAGTGGGCCACTGCTCCTCCCACCGGCACCAATAATGGAGCACTAATTCTTCCGACACCAACGATGAGGAACGACGGCTCCCACAACCTATGCAAGTTAAAGTGTTACTAAACCCCGGACCCGGCGTCCCCCTACGTCCAGCCTGCCCGGACCCGGCGTCCCCCTACGTCCAGCCTGCCCGGACCCATCGTCCCCCTACGTCCAGCCTGCCCGGACCCATCGTCCCCCTACGTCCAGCCTGCCCGGACCCATCGTCCCCCTACGTCCAGCCTGCCCGGACCCATCGTCCCCCTACGTCCAGCCTGCCCGGACCCATCGTCCCCCTACGTCCAGCCTGCCCGGACCCATCGTCCCCCTACGTCCAGCCTGCCCGGACCCATCGTCCCCCTACGTCCAGCCTGCCCGGACCCATCGTCCCCCTACGTCCAGCCTGCCCGGACCCATCGTCCCCCTACGTCCAGCCTGCCCGGACCCATCGTCCCCCTACGTCCAGCTGCCCGGACCCATCGTCCCCCTACGTCCAGTCTGCCCGGACCCATCGTCCCCCTACGTCCAGTCTGCCTGGACCCGGCATCCCTACGTCCAGTCTGCCCGGACCCGGCATCACTATATGCAGTCTCCCCGGACCCAGCATTCACTATATGCAGTCTCCCCGGACCCAGCATTCACTCTATGTCCAGTCTTCCACATTACACAGAACATGGAAATGCAATTATTTTTGTAAACTGCTAAATACCTTTTCCTATCAGCAGGATATAGCAGATTTGTGACTTCTCAGTGTCTGGCCGAGCACTATGTAATCTTGTAGGAGTATAACCCCTGGCCTTCTGTCTGGACAGCGCTGATTAGCCCTGTGCCCAGCAACCTCCTCCCAAAAAAATAAAAACCTCTCTAGCAATACACACCAAACTAAGCATGTGCAGACTTGCCACTGCTGCTCTAACTATAGCAACTGAACTGGGGACAGTAAAAAGGGGGGAGTCTCAGAAGAATGAATAAAACAGCCTTTTTGCATAATGTAGAGGATTAACCCCTTTAGGTTCCACAGTGAGTATAACAAGCATGCTTTACTGCACCTACAGACTGTACTGTTGTGGGTTTAGTAACACTTAAAAAAACAAAAAAACAATAAAAAAAAACGTAAAGTTTCGTTACAGCCCTCATAAGTTGAAAATGAGAGCCTTTGGAGGGAAGGGGAGGACGGTAATGACTAGTTAGAGACACCATGACATAGGCAACTTTCCATGAAGCTGAAGAATTCCACGGACTAACAGAGCTTTTCATTCACCTGCTTCTTCATTCATGGAAGAAGTCATTTATCAGCGCCCGTTGACTTCAGACACCCGGTCAAGAGACAAAACGCCGGCCTCATTTATTACAGATAATGGTTTTGGCTGAAGTCATTCCTTGTAGAGGAATTGTGGATTATCGTTTTACAGACTTGTTCATCTTATTCCCAGATAAAAGGTGACGACAGGCAGAAATGAGTTCAAGTGGACCTGCACTCCAATGTTACAGCGCATGGAAAACGCTGGATGACAGCTTGTTAAAGCACCGTGCAACCATCGACTTCTTCCATCCTTCCCCCATCTCAGTCCTGCGGTCTATTGCAGCCTTCCTGCCTAGGTGCCAGCTACATGACATTTCTCAGGAGGAAGGCGGCTTCTGATGATGACCACGGACCACGCCTGCAAAAAAGGCCACTATGGAAGCGAATATTGGACAGGGTGACAATGCAGGAAAGTGGTTAGGACACAAGTACACTACAGTCTTCACCCTATAACAGGAAATGCGTGAACAGACATTCAGACAAGATCCCCCCAGGGTTTTCCCTCTTTTTATTTTTACAAAGATTTAGGGCTCGTTCACACTTGACTATTTCTCTTTTTTGTTTTAATTTAAATATTTATTAATTTTTTAGATAAACAAGTTATACAAACTCATTAAAACTTTAGCATATTATCAATACATTTGTTTCATCCCTCCCCCACCGATAAACGACCCCTCCCTCCCATCCAATCCCTGACCCCTTCTCCTCTGCATTTTCCTGTTCATTTCTGGAGATCTTAATCCCTATAAAAGAATAAAAAATATGTTTCCATATTATTCTATGTTAATCCCCCATAACCTCCAGGGCTAGCCTTGACTTTTTGAATTCCTCCCATTTGTTCCATCTTGTATGGCGACTCTCTATCTTATCTTCATTCAAATGATAGTTCCTTCAATTTACATATTTGATTCCCCCAGTCTTTGGCTTTACTTCTAACTCTTGCCAAACACCCCTATAGTACTTGACAGGCATTTGGGAAGCATTTTTAACCCTTTGCCGTCCGCCCTATGGCCGAATGGCAGCCGGCAAATGTCATCAGCGTTCCGGGTGGACGCCACACACGCAGATTGAGCTCCTGCAGAGCCGCTCAGCGGCGTGATCTGTCACCGGCCGTGTACCTTGGACACGGCCGATGACAGATCCGAGTATTGGCCCCCGTTGCCGGTACCATGTGACCAATCACAGCAGGTCACATGACAGTTGTATACAATGGATGGCTTCATTCATGCCATCCATTGTATACTAGTGTCTAGTTGTGAATGGTCACAGCTAATCACATGCACATGTCATGTGATTAGCTGTGGCCAAATCACAGCTAAGCACAAAAAAAAAAAAAAAAAAAACCCTGAATGAATTGATGTCATTCAGGTAAATGCTTGCTTATAGCAAAGTAATTCTTTGCTATAAGCAAATTGTGTAAAAAGAAAAAAAAAAAAAAAAAAAGAAAAAAAATACTGATCACTTCCCCAAAGTAGTACAATGTTACTATGGTAACATTGTACTTGTCAGGGAACGCGGCGTCCTGTCGGCCGGCGCATGCGCGCTGGCGACGGCTCACGCCGGGACACAGGCACCAGGTCCCGGCGAGCCGTGGATGACAGGACGCCGCGCATGCGCAGTGGGAGCCGCGGGCGCGCCTCGGGCGGCCAATGACAGCCCGGGGGCGCGTCCTGGGCGGCCAATGACAGTGCAGGGCGCAATATTTAAAGATGCCCTGCACTGTCAGTAATCGCCGCAAGGTCTATCTGAGTTCCTGAGTCCTGTACCTGTGTTTTTGACCCTGATTGACCCTGACTACGCTGCCTGCTCCTGTGTTTGACCCGTATTGTCCTGACTACTCTGCCTTCTCCCATCCTGACCCCCGGCTTGTTTTGACCTCTCTACGGACTGACTTATCCTGCTGACCCTGCGTGTGACCAGACGATTCTCCGCCTGCCGATTCTGTACCTCGCCTACCCCACGGGACCCCTGCTCGTGATCCATCCTGCTAGGTCCTGCCGTCCTCCTCACATCTGGCTCTCCCGGTACCAATACATCCCCGGAGGTTCCCCCTGCCACTGGTGGGCCTGCTCGGAGGTCGTGACCTGGTCCCGGTCTGTTTCAAGTCCATCCCCACCATCAGGGGCCCTGGTGAAAGCACAGACCGGGACTTAGACTCCACGCTTTGGGTAGGTCTGTCAAGTGGGCAGCCAGGGGCACCACCTGGCGGATCATAACAGTACTACTTTGGTCATAGTGAAATATGAAAAAAAAAAAAAATCTTAAAAAAGAAAAAAAAAATATATACTTTTTTTCCCCATACGGTCACCAGTCAGTGTCCCTGATCACTGCCATGCCAGTTATAAGATGATGCTGTACTGCACTGGTGACAATATGTAAGCAAAAAAAATAGTGAAACGAATTTTTTCATTTTCTGAAAAATGACAAAAAAAAAAAATACTACTTCAAAAAGCACGCCATGCTTCTTATGAAGTACGTCTGACTGTCTACTCTGCAAAAAGTGGTCATTTGGGGGATATCTGTCCCGTCCTGACATTTGGGGGGATATGTCCCGTCCTGACATTTGGGGGGATATCTGTCCCGTCCTGACATTTGGGGGGATATCTGTCCCGTCCTGACATTTGGGGGGATATCTGTCCCGTCCTGACATTTGGGGGGATATCTGTCCCGTCCTGACATTTGGGGGGATATCTGTCCCGTCCTGACATTTGGGGGGATATCTGTCCCGTCCTGACATTTGGGGGGATCCCCGTGACATTTGGGGGGGGGATATCTGTCCCGTCCTGACATTTGGGGGGATATCCGTCCCGTCCTGACATTTGGGGGGGATATCCGTCCCGTCCTGACATTTGGGGGGATATCCGTCCCGTCCTGACATTTGGGGGGATATCCGTCCCGTCCTGACATTTGGGGGATAGCCGTCCCGTCCTGACATTTGGGGGATAGCCGTCCCTTCCTGACATTTGGGGGATAGCCGTCCCGTCCTGACATTTGGGGGATAGCCGTCCCGTCCTGACATTTGGGGGATATCTGTCCCGTCCTGACATTTGGGGGATATCCGTCCTGTCCTGACATTTGGGGGATATCCGTCCTGTCCTGACATTTGGGGGATGTCTGTACTGTCCTGACATTTGGGAGATATCCGTCTGTCCTGACATTTGGGAGATATCCGTCCTGTCCTGACATTTGGGGGATGTCTGTACTGTCCTGACATTTGGGGGATGTCTGTCTGTACTGTTCTGACATGT